CGCGTCCAGCAGGCAAAAAGCAGTTTTTTATCGTATTCGCCACCACGTTATTCACTGTTTACTGGCTCAAAAAGAGTGATGTGCACATACCTCTGGAGGCCCTGATCCCCACTGCACGCATTTCACTTGGGCACGTGAGTACCAACATCACCAATGTGTCATCCTTCCCTGCCTATATTTTTCCCTTCCCTCCCGAGCCTTATTCCCTGCCATCCCCTGCAAGCTTCATGATTCCTAATAAATCTTTCTCATTAATTTATTCCCTTCCTTGAGCGAGCTGCACTGATATTTCACCCAATAAGACAGATGTTTTTAGCACAGCCGGGGTTCAATGTGGCCACCATGGGGAGAGACAAAGAGCCAGCGTGTGGTTCACATAGCTGAAGGTGTCCAAGGGATTCAAAGCCCTCACCGGATCTGAGGGATTAGACAAGGCGATATCTCCTCCAGCAAGTTGGGTAGGAGGCTTCCAGAGTTGAGCTTTCTAGCCCATTTAAAATTGCTCTCTTTCCTTCCCCTTCTAGTTCTTTCTATTAGCTTTAAAGAAAGAAAAATGTCCAAATATTATTTCCCTATGCCATGATAATTAATCCTGTAAATCATCCCTAGGTGAAACTTCAGCACATTATCCTGCAAGTAGCAAGCAGTGCTTTCATTCTGGAAGACTTGCTTTTAGCAAAGTATTCGCTAACTCTGGGGTTGCTGGCTCTGGCACTCCAAGCAAACCTGCTGCTAGCCAACAGAATTAAAAATGTATTTATAGGAACATTCAAAACCAGCACAAACACTGCAAAACCCACAAAAAACAAAGATTGGATTGCAGGGTTTTATTGAATTTGGGATCGTTAGTGTCCAATTTGCTGCTGGCATGAGGAGACTGCAATGTTCTGCAATGGATTTAGCAAGCAGTTCTCTCAAGCAGAAGACCCTGCCACTTTGTTAAAGGTCCTGAAACACTGCCAGGTTCTCCTCACTGGCACGTGGGTGAGGAGCGTGCCCATTTATCCTCAGGCGTCCTCCCACCAGGATCTTCCTCATACGCGTTCATAGGGGAAACACGGACAAATAATTAATGAATGAAGCAGTAACAGGGGGAATAATGGACCCCAGTGGAATAGAGGAAGAGAGATCTTGCAGGGAAAGGTCACATGAACTAACAAACAGAATTATTACCAAGCAGGCATTAAATTAAAGGCACGGAAATGCCTGTTTGTGCAGATGAGGAAATTGTTACCAAGACACAAAAATTTTCTAGTTGTAAGAACAACTTTAAGAATCAAGAATAGGAATGCACTGACTTTGTAAAGCCACCTTCTCCACTTTATACATACACAGGCACCATCATTGTTCTCTGCCTGTCTCCTCCCCTTCAGGCTCAATCTACCTGTGCCTCACAGCCCCTATGGCTTCCAACCTCCTCATAACCAAAAACTCATTTGCCTCCTCCAGAAACACTTCTCCAGATACCTCCAGAAACACTTCTCCAGAAACCTAACTCCAGATCAAGGAGTTAGGATGCATGGTGCCATTGTTCCAGTACATACGCTACTACTCTTCTGACATCTGCTCATACCATTAGTCTACAGATCCAAGGAATCCTTCTGCAGCTGGTATCTCCAGAATACCTGCACTTGGTGCTACTGAAACTATCACCCCCGGAGAAGGTGGTATCCTTCTCAGGACATGGCTAAGCAGGTTTTCAGCTTCCTTCCACAACCTGATGATCTACTAAGGATGCGTTTCTCTGTGGCTACGTGCCAACAAATTTCAAGGTCTTGGACAATAGCTACCCACCTAGATTTAATGGCACATCAGCAGCACATCTGTCCAGAGCCTTAGCAAAACTCACAAGAAAAAGAAGGAGATTAAGGAGATTAAGAAATCGCATTTAATTGCACTGCTTCCTCCAGAAACACGTTTTCCATATTGGGCATCGCTTCTGAGCAATAAAGAATGTGCTATTTTAGGAGGATCTAGCCTAAAAGAATGAAAATTTGATTGCTGCAGGAGCCTCACACTGTCTTGGCAGCTGCAGCAGGCAGGGTACAGCTCTGCTATGGTGGTGGCAACGACCCCAAAGATTTCTGGCTAAAACTGTACCCATGGACTAGTATCACCAGCTGTAGGCTCTGCTCATTGCCACCAGTTCTGCATATTCTTGTGTGCTGGGGCTGCCTCATCCCTGGCAGTGTTCAAGGCCAGGTTGGATGGGGCTTGGAGCAACCTGCTCTAGTGGAAGGTGTCCCTGCTTGTGGCAGGGGGTTGGAACTGGATGAACTTTAAGGTCCCTTCCAACCACAACCTGTCTGTGATTCTGTGGAGATGCATGCATGCTCAAATAAATATAAATGTACTTTTAAATCAACATATCCATCTGTTAACCTGTGTCTTCCACACAGCAACTCTACTGCATTGCCAACTGTCCTTCCATCATGCCACCAGCAGGCTCTCAGGCTTTATCCTCAATATATTTTCAATAAAACACAGGCACAGCAGAAGTGTCCAATATAGCAGGAAACTTAACTTTATGCGAACATGGAAGACAAATCTTAAAAATGAAAAAAATCACAGCCCCAAGACCACCAGCCCTGCACTTGGTCACTATTACTATACAGCACACCACAACGGTTTTATTTTTTTTCTTTCCAAAAGGTTTGTATTTAAGCTTCTAGAAAACTGTAAAACTGCATCAGCAATTTAATTCTCACTTACCTCCTTTTCCACACTTCAATTACAAGCTTTTTGAGCAACATAAAAATAGCCTGAGAGTGGTGGTGGCCCTACCTTGGCTGTGTGAGTAGAAGGAAGCAGAAAAGATGCTCTCCTTACCTTTAGGATGGGAGCCATGAAGACAGACACACCAGTCAGAATGAAAACGATGACTCCTGTGACTCTCTGCTCCCTGAAACAAAATCATGGGGTGAGCAGGATGGCTTCAGTTTTTGCTCTGCTTTTAGTCCTCCATTTTTCAAACACCTGATCAGTTTTTGTACGTTGCTCTGCCGTTTGGGGATCAACAGCGTGCTGCTACTCAGTAAGGAGGAGTGTGTTTACATGTTAAACATTAGAAACCAGCAATCCAAATCCTCTGCACAGCAGGATTTATAGCAGGCAAATAGGTAATAAATCACTAGCTCTCCACTCTTAGATCAGTAGCCTATTTTGAGTCCTGGTCATAGTACCCCAGCATTTGGACAGATGGTGCACGACTTCGTGGGGTGCCGAACATGTGCCTTCAGCTGCTCCCTTCATCCAAAAATACTTTAGCCAGTCATATTTCACAGTACTGAAAGTTAAGCCATTGCATTTCTATTCAGTCACCTAAACAAGTGGCTGATTTCCAGAAGTGCTCCTATTGACAGCACTTCACTTAATTAAGGCAATCAAATACAGAAAAAATTGCTTGATTAAGTAGAGCTGATGGCTCTAGGCATGACAGGTTTACACTTTTTACCATTATGTTTGCTAATGTCCAATTTCCATGGGTGAAGAAGTCTGCATCAAAATTATCTCCTTTCTCAACCACGGGAAAACTGCATCTGATCTGGCTGAATAAACCTTTGAGGAGTTACATGGGGATTTGTCCAAGGAATTGCCAGAGAGCTATTCCCCCCGAACCTTTGCACGTGTCCTGCTTGAAGCAAGACTATTTGTAGTACAAACTGATCTCTTCAGGTAAACAAGGCAATTAAGGCCTTTCTGGTTTGTCATACCTCACTCCCAAAAACTTGGGCTGTTCTCCAGGAGCTGAAGTTTCTGTCTCCATCTTCAAGCTGTCGATATGAGCAATGGAGATGACAGTAGCAGCAACATACCAGGGCAGACCCATAAAGGAACATATGATCATCAGAATAGCCACCCAGAACAAGTCCAGATGATATCCAGCACCTTTCTGTGAAGGGAGATAGATAACCTTCAGCTTAATTATTCTAAATACCAATGGAACTGTCAGGGCTCCGACCCATTTCCTCCTACAGCATCTTTTGGCCAACAGAAATTGTCATAAGAATCATAGAACCATTGAATGGTTTGGGTTGGAAAGGACCTTAAAATCATCTAGTTCCAACCCCCCAGCCATGGGCAGGGACACCTCACACTAGACCATGTCGCCCAAGGCTTTGTCCAACCTGGCCTTAAACATCACTGCCAGGGATGGAGCTTTTACCACTTCTTTGGGCACCCGGCTTCAGTGCTTCACCACCCTCACAGTAAAGAACTTCTTCCTTATATCTAACCTGAACTTTCCCTGTTCAAGTTTAAAACCATCACCCCTTGTCTTATTGCTACAGTCCCTGATGAAGAGTCCCTCTCCAGCTTCCAAATAGCAAAGTGGGAGACTTTGCTCCTTAAAGGATGGATTACCTGACTCTGCAGGGGAAACAGATAAGAGTTCCAGCAAGCTCTGGAGACAACAGTGAGCATGCAGTGAGCACAGGAGAGCATCAGACTTGAAAGCAAGTCTGGCCAAAGACCAAGTACCTTCTAGATACTACATAGTGCCTGGAGGTTGAGCCGGTACAAGCTGAGCCCTGCAACCAGTCTAATAGTCACTTACAGAGGTACTTGACCCAGCAGCCCATGAGTTAAAGACAATCACCTTCACCAAAGGATATTTGGTAAGGCAGATGACTGCTCTGCTACGAGGACTCCTTGTGACATGATGGGAGACCTAGATTGGTACCTTCATGCACCAAGTCACCTTGTGCCTGTGTAAGTGACAGCTTGGATACGCGCAGAACTTTAAACACCCAAACACCCTTTAAATCCTAAACGTAACATTTGCCATCTGCTGCCTCAGAGTGGGATCCTATATTTAGGATAGGACAGGGATCTCACAGCTTGGTCTTCACAACTGGTCTGAGCCCTGCTGGTGTTGCCTGGTGGTGGACGCAACTTCCTCAACACCCAACCCTAGAATGTTTGGGGGAAAGCAACAAGAACAGCTGACGGGCCCATACCCTCAGGGATCGTTGTTGGGATCTGTATTGTTCAACATCTTTGCTGGTGACATGAACAATGGGATTGATGTGCCCTCAGCAAGTTT